AAAAAAGAGAGAAAAAGAGAGAAAAAAAAGAGAAAAAAAGAGAGAAAGAGAAGTCATGTACTAATTAATGTCCTAAATTTCCCCATAGACCAAATACCTCTTCTATGGACCCTCAACGGGAGGCGTAATTAAGCCCGTTGCACTGTCATAGGCTCCCTGATCTTCAAAACCCTCGATCAAAAATCTCATCACAATATCGGCAGCTATTTCTGCATCATCGTCGGCATCCATGTCCTCAAGGGCCTTTTTCAATTTCACAGGCTCCCATGATGCACCAAACACCTTGATCGTCTCAGAGTTGACGAACCGGTCAAATTCGAAATGGCCTTGGAAGGTGAGCACACGTCCCTGGTCACAGACACCTTGGACATGGCAATGTTTCGAGCTGCCAATGACCGTCCATGGATGAGGCAACGCTCCAGGGTGGGGTATTTTGACATGATCAGCATGTACAAATTGAAGCTTCAAGGACTTGGGACCTTCAGGCTCTGGCACCCGGCTGGATTCAGCATCTGGAGTAGAAGGCTTCTCGTCTGATGCAAAGTTTTGCGAGACCATAGACGACTTCAAACCCGAACAAAAGTTTTCTGTCAAGCTGATTTCGTGAACTCCGAGCTCCCAACCTTTTGGATCCTTTTCCACCATGACACCAAATTTTCTGAACAAGCTCTGACAGATGAGTTGGTGTCCAAAGCAGCTACCAAACATTTTCACCCGCGGATGATTTTCATATACGTCCAAAACGTATGCATCCAGCTTCCGTATCCATTCCACCTCATCATATGCTGATGCTGCAGAACCCGTAATCAGGACAACATCGAATTTCGACAGACATTCGGGATATTCTCCTCGGACAACGTCAAAATCGGTGGATTGTATGTTGATCATAGGACAGATGCGGGAAGCAGCATCGCTCAAGAGACGGTGAAAGATATCACCATATGTCCCCAGCTTAGCACGTACATTTGGCACTGGTAGATCGGTATTGAACACGGCTATTCGGACAGTTTGCATCGCCATTTTTTCTCGATGATTTCGTTTAGATTGGTGTTACCGTATGAATTGAGAATAAGTAGGTAAAGGGGGAAATTGATTGCCCAACAAGAATCATGCACAGAATATCTAGCTGTAGTTCTATGAAGACTTCTAGGATCGTCCTTCTCTATCTCCCTACCAGGATCTATTCCCGGAATCGTGGTCCGCTATAGTGATCACCCAGTGGGGCACCGTTTCACCGGGATGGTGCCCCTAACTCACAGCTGAACTCTGATAAGACCAGACCGAGGCATTTAAGATACATGTACCGTGGTGGCCGGTTCGTTCATCGGTATATGTTTACCTAGATCTTGTATGCTCGAGACATACGAGGAGTACCGGATAATGTCCAACATTCACCGCATGTAAGCGACTAATAGAAGGACCTCGCCTGTCAGCAAGATTTCTCGCTTTTCGAACCGAATCATTGGTAAAGTACAGAGCTCCATAGCGACGCTTATTGCAAAATAAATTTTGCGCCTGCCTATCTAACTATATACACCCCACACGTAAGCATTTCCTTATTTTAAAAAATATTAGCACACAAAAATTTTTTTAAGCTATAACAACACTTTCCCAATCCCTGTGCAACTATATCAACCACACAAAACCAAGCCATATACACATTTATCCCGTTATACCTTTATTATTTGTCTTTTAATATTACTAAAGCTTTTTATACCTTTTTTTATATATTATATCGATATCCTAAACCCTAGGCATACTTTAGCTTATACCTTTTAAATTTAATTAAGCTAAATTAATTATCGATAACCTTTCGATAATTTGCGCTAAATACCTAAAATTTTATTATTATATATTAGGTAATTATTGCAGTTTTTAATATTAAAATAACTAAATTATACGTATAATAATCCGTATTAGTTATAACGCTTTTAAAATTATATAAATTTAACGGCAAAAATTTAAAAATTTTTTTTATAACCCGTTAAATATATAAAAATAACGCTAAAATTACCGTATAATATATAAAACGTTTATTAAAATATAATAATAATAATATATTTATTTTTTTAAGCAAAATTTAATAAATATTTTTTTATTTTATATATTTTTTTTATTTTTCCGAATTAAATATTTAAAATATATAATATATATTATTTAATATTTATTATATATATAATAATATTTAATTTTTATTTTTTAGTATTTCCTAAATATTTTTTTAAATTTTTAAATATTTATTTTATATTTTTTTATATTTTATTATAACGGTTTACCAATGGAACGTCAGGTAGTAGTTAGTATATTATATATTATTATATAGACTGATTTTTATAAAAGCAAGAATCTAATACGATTATACTGCGCTAATTATATTTAGCTATAGCGTTAGCGTTATAATAGCGGTACGGCACCGCTATATATTATTTATATAAAAAGTTATTATAATTATCTTTTTTTTTTAATAATAGCCGATTTAGCTATTAATCCATTTATACCGTAATTACGGGATTAGCGATGCCGTAATAATAAGGATTTATTTAGCTATTTAATATTATTTTTAATATTAAAATAATAGCTAAGCTTTTAGCGCCTTTTTTTTATTTTTAATTTTTTCTTTAGCTATTATTATATTTTTTTTTAGCTAAAAAAAAACCGCCGTTTTTATATTTTTATATTATTTTTATATTTACGCTTATTTTTTTTTACGCTTATATTTTGCCGCTTTTTTTTTTTTAATTTAACGTTTTTTTTTTAACGCTATAATACCGAAAAATAACCGTTTCCGCCGCGCTAAACGTAAAATTCGCGTTTAAATAAAATTTTTCCGCGCTTTATACTTTTATTTTTTAAATTATATAAAATGCTAACGCATAATAACTAAAAACTTTTTATTAGCCTTTTTAACGGCCGTTAATTTTTTATATTTTTTCGAATCCGTTATAATTTAGCGTTATAAATAATACGCTAAACGCAACCGCTTTTATAAGCAAATAAATTTATTTTTTTATATACGCCGCGCTATTAATTATATTATTCGTCGCTAACGACTATTTTTTAAACCGCTACCGGTATAACCGGTAATATAAACGATATAATTAGCGCTTTATAATAAATCGAGAATTATTAGTAATTCGATTAAAATTAAAATAGCGACGTTATCGTCGACGATAAAGGCCGTCGCATTTACGTTTTTCTTAAGGATATTCGCTTGCGCGTTATTACCGTTTTTTTACGATTCGCCGTAGCTTTTAAAGCTAATAAAAAGGTTTATTATACTAAATATAACTTTATTACCGCTAAAAAAAAAACTAAAAATGCCTATAACACTTACCGTTCGTTTATAAATAGCCGTTTAGCTAATATTCGTATTAATAGCTTTTATTACTTAAGCTTTATTATTATAAATTTTTTATTTATTTTATATTATATTAGCGCGTTATTAACGCTTTATTCGTAAATTTTTAAGCTTTTACAAATTTAGGAAACCGCTTCGTTTATACGCTTAGCTTCCGGCGATACCGGTTATAATAATTAGCTAATAGCTAAAACGGTTTTCCGCAAAAATTATTTATATACCGCAGGTTTTTTTTCCGATAAATAAAAAAAAGCTTATAAAAAATTTTAGCCTATTAATATTTTAGTTAATTAGCCGTTTTTTCGTTTGCGCTTTACGGCGTTATTATTTTATTTTATATAATTAGGTTTATAATTTATATTTTTGCTATAATAAATTAATAAAAAGCCGTCGTTACACTAATAATACGCATAAGTTTTGCTATTATTTTATTTTTTATTTATTAGGCCTTTTAGTTATAAAAATATCCGTTTTTTGCCGTATTATAAATTTTTATAAATATCTTTTTATAATATTGCTTTTATCGTAATTTCCGGGGTCGCCCTTATTTTTGCTTTTATAGCATTAATATTTCGTTTCTTTTACTTTTAAATTACGGCTTTTTATCGCCTTTTTTCTGGGATTTTCGGCGGGTTATTTTCCCAAATTATTCGATTTTTTTAGGCGTTTTTTATATTATTTATTAATATTTATTAATTATATTTTAAAAGCTATTCCGTTTATTTTACGAAATATTAAGTTTCGCTTTGCTTTATTTTTTAATTTAGCATTTTTTTTTACCTTTTATTTATTTTTTAAATTTTTTAAATCTAATATTTAAAAAAAATAGGCTAAATTTTCCCTTTTCTTTAGCTTTTAAGGCTTTAATAAAATAATAGGGAATATATTATAAAATAACCGGTATTTATTAAATAATACTAACCGATACGCCGACGATTTAATTAATTTTAATACCCGAAAAAGGTTTATAAATTTAGGTATTAGCTTATCGCTCCTTTTCGTTTTAATATTTTTAATAAATAATATTATTATATTACTTATTTAAAATTATATAAAGGTATAACGCTTATTATAATATTTCTTTTATATTTTAATAGCTTTTCGCTATTAAACCTTTATTTTTTTTTTAGCTTTATATAGCTTATGCATTTTATCCGTTATAGCTAATATTTTTTTTTTAAAGACGTTAACCCCGGCGTTTATCTGTAATTATAAGTAATATTTATATAATATAAAAAAAGGTATCGTTCCTATCGTTAAATTTTTGGTATTATTTATAGCATATTCCGCTTTTGCTAATAATTAAGGCTAATACGTTTAATTATTATTAGCGAAATACCGTAGGTACGTTTTAAATATTTAATTTGCTTTTTTTATTTATTTATTTATTTAAGGATAATATATTATCGATAGTTTTTTTTTAATTTTCGAGTAAAAATATAACGCTAATTAGAAATTATTTATAAATAGGCTTTTTTTATCGGATATAATGCCTTTAGGTGCCCTAAAACGCAGCTCGATTTCTTTATAAATAAATTTTATAAATTAAATTGCGGTAATCGAAATATTAATTAATAAAAACTTATTTATTTTCGTATATTTATCGATTATAATAAAAATCGTATTATATTGCTTTTTATTTATTTTTATTTTTAGGAATTTTATAATAAAATTTATATTAATTTTTTATTAAAATCTTTATAATAAAGGTAATAATTTTAACTTTTTATAAAGTCGATATTTTCGCGCTTTCGATTTTTAATATTAATTATAGGTTTATATTTATTTTTTTATATTATTATATATGTTTTTTTAAAAATACCGTCGATATATTAGCTTTTAGGTACGGCTAATACCGAAATAGCCGGCTAGCGGGTTATCGTAATATAAGGCAAAAATCGAATCTTTTAAGCCTTTATCGTTTAAAATATAAGCTATATTTTTAAAAAAAACGAAATTTTTAAAATTTAATATTTATATTTTATTTTTAACCTTTTAAATCGGGCTTTTTAAAGCGGCGCGAAGCCGGCGCATTTTTAGGTCTTTTTTTTACGTTTTACGGATTAATTTTAAAAATTTAGTAAAACTTTTATTTTTATAAACTTTTATTTTTTTAAGGCTTTTTAAGCCGTTTTATAATTTATAACCGTTTATATGCTTATAAGCTATTATACCGCGGCTACGGGAATATTATCGTATATAACGGAATTAAAAATAACGCTTTATACCGCGGCTATTTTAGCTTATAAATCGTATAAATATTTTATTTTCGCTAGCTTTTCGCTAACGTAATTAGGTTTTTTCGATAGCGTATTTATAAGGTTGCTTTTTTTATTATAGTGCTTAATTATAAAATTAAAAAAAGATAAAAATATATATTATTTAATTTATTTATTATTAAGCTGCTTTAAATTTATAAAGCTTTATAAATTTGCGTAATTTATTATTATTTTTATTTAGTAATTCGCTTTTTATAAATAATAACGCTAATATTTAAACGATTTTATAATCGCTATTATTTCCTTATTTAAAATATTATAATTTAATTCGGCTTTAGCCTTTAATTTCTTTAATTAAAAAGCAATAAAATGCTATATATTAATATTATTTAGTTATAAAATAATCCCCGAAAAGGCAAAATCCGACGTATCGGTTTCTAAGC